ACAGGACTTAGGCGCACCAATGCATGCAATGCAATGAACTTATAATTGAAAATAAAAAAACATATCATGGAGTTTGAGTCAAGATTTCTTAATATCACCAGTGGAGTCGCCAGAAACTATAACATGTCTGGGAGGTACCCGTGCACGTTAATAGTTTGGACATGAGTGTAATGTGAAACGTAAATGAGAGTCCAGATTTGGCAACTTTTATAGAAATTTATTTAATTGCAAAAATCTTTGCCAAAAACAGACTACATCACTAGATCTTAGAATTGCCACCTAATATTTTGGAGAAATTAGGAAACCTGTGACTTGTGTTAAGGCCACTGTTTGTCATAACTGAAGTTGCTTGGAATAATTCGATTTCATGTATTTTTGAAAGCATTTTAAACAACTTGACGGAAACTTGAGTTTGCGACATGAAAATCAATTTTGTTCCAAATTGAACAACACAACCTCCATCCACAGGCAGTCATAGAGATATATCAAATAAGCACATAGCTGCATGGTAGGATGCTAAACATAGTAAGAAAAACGCACACAAACGAGATACTAAAGCATAAAAGCTTACATATTTACTAGCGTCCCTCAAACAAGTACAAATTAAAGTTAGTAAAACATGTATGATCATATATACAAGATCCTAATACAATTCATTCATGATATGCAACTAGTGATTCGGCTTCTAAAACATGACATGTGATATCATGAACATGAAGTTGCACACAAAATCATGTAATGATCGATTAAACTCACAAATGAAAATTTAGTCGAATCACGATGCATCAAACATGGATGTAAAGCAAGGATATGATGATAAACAAAATATACAACAAATGTATAGACATAGAAAGCAAGTAAAGAATGGGGTAAAAAGAAGCGGGATGGGGAAGTATTATAACATTTGAATATTACAAATCCGAATAGGGGGAAAGAAAGAAAATATTACAACAAAGTATCCTCACAAATCTCTCTGAAATTAAAAGAAAAGCAGAAAAAAAAACAAAAATAAAAACAAACAAACAAACAAAACAAAAGCTTTAGGGTGGCCTCAGAGACCATCAAAGGCTGTTCTGCTCAACACGGGGAGGTTGTTGGGTTATGTCCAGAAGAGGTTGGCTGGCCAGCCAGCCAAAAGAAGAGCTGTTGGCCGGCCGGCCAATCAGACCAGGCCAAAACTCTATTTTCTACTTTTCAAGCACCAAAGACAGAAACAAGCAGGGAATATGTGGGTGCTTAACTAACCACTTTCAGTTAAAGTATAGCAAGCTTACAATATGAAATGAAATAAAAAAGCTCAAAATAAGAAAGATAGTAAAAGAGAAGAAAGTGTGCATGTTCACCTTCCAAGGAAAGGATTTGATTTTCAAACTTTCTTTTGATCACCCTCAAGTTTCAGAAGTGTATTTCTTAGTTCTCAGTTTGAAAATTCAAAATTCTTATGTGAACGGTATTTTTGGGTGTTTAACAGAATGTGTGGGGGAACTCTCTGTTTTCCTCTATTTTCCTCTCTTTTTAAAACGCTCACTCTTTTTTGATTAAGACTACTAAGGTTTGGCTATATCAGAGTTTTTGGGATGGTTTTGGTGTCTCAAGGATGGTATATCAATGTGTGGTAATGTATATTTGAAAATGAAAGTTTTTGGTTCAAAGCTTAAACTTCTCTTTTTCTCTCTAACTTTCATTTTTTGAAATCAGTCCTCCTCTCCTAATAATCTGATCACCTTCATATAGGCAATACAAGAATGCATAGTGGAAAAGGTGGTGAGAGACAAGGTTGAAAACAAAGGCCATAAAATGACAAAGGCCAAGGACTTTGTTGAAGAGGCCAACTCTCTTGACAATGAGAGATGGGTAGATATACATATGCAAGGCTCAATCAAGCAGGTAGGAGGGCACAAGGTGGAAGGCAAGGATGATGGAGTGACAAGGATGGTTGCATTGGATACTCCTTTTGGGGTAAGAGACAAATCCTCTTTTGACAATGGAGGCTAAAGGAAGATAGTTCAAGGTCAAGAGATGTGTATCTCGTGTATGCATGTATCAAGAAATATCTGAAATAGCATGTTCCACACACTTCTAGCAAGAATTTTGTTAAAACTACTCTGTTTTTCTTGGTTGGCTGACCAATTACTTGGTTGGTCGGCCATTTAATTTAGTCGACCTGCCAACTACTTGGTTGGCCGGCCGACCAAAACGTTGGTTGTGGCTGACTGTTTTGCATGAAACTGGTTTTTTTCAACAGAATTCTCATCCTTTCCTCTTATTTCCACATTGTTCTTTGCTCAATTTCCCGAGAAAATGTTTCATTTTGAAGTTTAAAAATGAGTCTCGGAACACTACGAAAATATTCGAAACAAAGCGCGGAACGAAAGTTTCGAAAGAGAGTTTTGAATGGGACATAATCATTTGGCCAAAATAGGCTTAGGCTTGGAAATGAAGCAAAAATTTTGTCTTTATTACTAAGGATGTTGTGAGAAATGCCTTCATATTTTCATCATCGAGTAATCAAAAGAAAACGTCTAAATCTTAGGGCTGGTCAAAATGAGATCTACAATCACAACCCTCATAAATGAGATTAACCAATCCACAAATCTTTCAATACACATAACATTAACCAATACCCTTTTTATTTCTCTAAAGTTTTGATTTTTTGAGAATTATTTTTACTTAACAATTATAAAACCATAAATAACAATGAACACAAATTAAACTCTGAGTTTCTTTATTGTCTTATATACCCATTTTCACATTTTTAATATACAACACCCCATATGGTTCAAATAAAATAAAATCACCAATTTTCTCCTCTTTCATATAACCTATAAACAATTAATTAGGGCATTTTACTCTAATCCGTTTAAACATCAAACATTACAATCTCATATATTCATAACAAAACACAAGATTTAACTCTTGATCATAAAATCCTAACCCTCATCACATGGTTTTCGAAAATACCCAACAAATCAAGTTTTTAATGCAATAAAAACTACCACATAGTTATCTACAATGAGGTATTGAAAAGGAGTAAAGCAATCCCTATCTCAAAGAGAGAAGAGGAGAAAACTCTAAAAATCAACTTCACCAGAAGTTGATCTCCACCGGTTAAAATGCAGCCCTTGAGACGCTTGTCATTTTTGTATAAGGAACTAGTATCGAAATCTCTCTTGATCTTTGTAGATTGAAGAAAATGTGAAAATTTAGTGAGAGTTTAGAGAGAAGGGAGAGAAAAGAAAAGTGAGAGAGAGAGAGAGAGAGAGAGAGAGAGAGTGTGTGTGTGTGTGTGTGTGTGTGTGTGTGATGAGAAATGGTCAAAAAGAGAGAGAAGGATCTGATTTCAGTGAAAAGAGCACAGAAATTGACATTTGGACGTGCAAAATCCGTTTATGTGGATTTTAAAACCATTCGTGCGGATCAACTCAGGGAAAAAATGGTTTTCTCGCCAAATCTGCTTCTGTGGAATTCAAATTTCCACTCATGTGGATTTGACCAGACAATTTTTGTTGGGTGACTTCAAACAATCGTCGTTTGGAAACGGAATATGGTCAATTTTGTGTCTAAATTGAAGCTCCAGAAATAAACTTTTCAACGGCTCTAGCCTCACATCAAGATTCAAAATATGGAGGAAAAAAAGTCAAACAGTGAACACTATTCAAAACAAATATTTGATTCTGGCAATTTTGGTCTAATCTTGCCCAACCAACAAGTTAACTCATCAATCAAAGGCTCCAAACAATGATGAGGATGTTTCAATTATAATAACTAAAAAGTCCAACTACAACCCGTAACTTTTCAAAAGTAAAAAAAAAAGAAAAATAAAAAAAAATGTAAATATAAAATAACAATTACCACTTAACATAAACAACTCAGAATTAAAATCCGGGACACTGCAATATCTTTACTAAAATCCCTTCCCGTTACACATTTTTATTATTTGAAAACCAAACTGATGGTTTCTGACGTACCCATTAGTTTGAGGGGATGTAAAGCAAAATAATATGTTGGATTTGTTTTAGAGTGAGTATAGTTAATGATAGTTAGGGCTGGTTTGGGGTGTCCTAAAAAAGTGCACTTTTTGTCTTTTTGGACTAAAAAAATTGAGAAAAAAATATGGAAGTTTGGGTTAACTTTTTGGATTTTTATGAAAAAATGTGTATTAAAAAATTGTATAAAAAAAATGTGTAAGAGATGATTAGAGAGTGGTGGCCCCCAGCCGTACACAATGCAGCCGTGTATTGGGATTGGAAATTATTGGATAATTTTTGTAGAAAGCATTGGACGTTTTTGTTTGGCCCGTGGGGGTCATCACGGGTCCCATTTTAATAATCTGAACCGTTCAATGTGTGTAACTCGTCGAACACTATGTACCTACAAAAAATTATGTTAATCGGATATCGATAGCTATCTGATTAGATTTATTTATTTTTCAATCATTAATTATAACACTATCCATTTGTTGTACATAACTGATTTGATCATATAGTTTTCGATATCCGATTAATGTGATTTTTGGCAGACATATATTACTCGACGATTTCTACATATTGAACGGTTCAGATTATCAAAACGGGACCCCTGATGGCCCCATGGGACGAACAACGGTGTGTATAAAAATCACACCCAATCATTTCTTTTGTTCTGCACTGCCGCACACAGCCGCTGCCTCTGTGTCAATTCCGTGCGTACCTGTGTTGAAAGAAATTAATTTTTTAATTTTTTTTTTTGGATGAATAGTGATATCTTTTTGGATTTTGGAGTAACTTTTTGACTTTTTGGCTGATTCAGGTTACCCCAAACCAGCCCTTAATATATTGCGATTGAAAAAATAAAATATATTGCGATTGGTTTCGAAAAAAAAGCAACTACCAGTCCTTTTTACCATGCTTTCTTACAACGTGTCCACTTCTCATTGGCAAAACATCTCCACTCCTCGAAGCAACCTTCTAGCCGATACGACTGGTAGATAGATACAGACCTCCACACATCTATATATACATCGGTATCAAGGTCTCTCATCTCTCTCTCTCTAAACATGGATCACCGTTTCTCTCTCCTCTTCGTTTTCTCTCTCGTCATTGCGACGTCCTTCGCCTCAGCCGCCGATCCGGACGGCGATGACGTCATAATCCGGCAGGTCGTCGGCGAGGACCATCAGTTGAACTCCGACCACCACCACTTCAGCCTCTTCAAGAGCAAGTTCGGAAAGTCGTACGCCACCAAGGAGGAGCACGATCACAGGTTCTCGATCTTCAAGTCTAACCTACGCCGGGCTCGCCGCCACCAGCAGCTCGACCCCACGGCGGTCCACGGCGTCACTCAGTTCTCCGATCTGTCTCCGGCGGAGTTTCGCCAGAAACACCTCGGCTTGAGGAGGCGCCTCAAGCTTCCATCCGACGCTAACAAGGCTCCGATCCTTCCGACAAATGATCTCCCGACAGATTTCGATTGGAGAGATCACGGAGCCGTCGCACCCGTAAAGAATCAGGGTTCTTGTGGATCATGCTGGTCGTTTAGTGCCACTGGGGCCTTGGAGGGTGCGAATTTCCTTGCAACAAGGAAGCTTGTGAGCCTTAGCGAGCAACAACTTGTGGATTGTGACCATGAGTGTGATCCAGAGGAAGCTGATTCTTGCGACTCTGGTTGCAATGGTGGGCTGATGAATAGTGCCTTTGAGTACACACTCAAAGCTGGTGGACTTATGCGAGAAGAGGACTCTCCTTACACCGGTACTGATCGTGGAACCTGCAAATTTGACAAGACCAAGATTGCTGCTTCAGTAGCTAACTTTAGTGTCATGGATACAAAGATCTGAACACACAGAGGATCTTGTTGGAAGATACAGCGGAGTGAAGGTATGTGTAGAGGTCCGGCGGGCGGCCAAGGCGAGACTGCCGCCCGCCGGTGAAGTAGAATGACTAGGTTGTTAACCTCGCTCTGATACCATGTAAAATATTGATGTATATTATTGATTGATTTATTGATTGATGATTTATATTACAATGATTCATGATTCCTATATATAGAAGAGGGTGAGTGTGTAGTAGGTGAGGAGTAGGTGGAGAGTAGGTGAAGTAGGTGAAGTAGGTGAGTGTGTAGTAGGTGGTAGTGGTAGGTGTGTAGTAGGTGGATTTTAACAGCCCCCCGCAAACTCAAGGGGGATAGGAACGAACCAACTTGAGTTTGGAGAGAGTTACAAAACAAGAAAATACATAAAAATAAAAGAGGATAGGTGACACTGTATGGGCGTGTCAGACCATTGGTGAAGACACTGGATGGTGGTGTCATAACGTTGTAGAGGACACTGGATGGCGGTGTCAGACCGATGTAGAAGACAGTTTATGGGGTCATGTCGGACCGTTGTAGCAGACAATGTTGTGACAGTTGTTGTGACAG